GCAAGATGGTCATCAGGCCATTTCCTGCTTGGTGCAGGGGACTGGACCCAATCATCTTCCAAGGTCCCTTCCGGCCTTACAGTCTATGAATCTGTGAATAATTTTGTGAATAACCACTTGCATGTAGATTCATGGCTGGACTACTCCTGTCTCCATCAGTACTGGTCCATCACCACAGGGCTTTTGGAGGTGGGTACAGACAAGCATGTTGCTTCTTGTCGTAGAAGCCTACACATGACTTTATTTAACATGAGGAAGTTGGTGCATGGAAACAGCAACCACATGATCTTGATGCAGTGGAGATCTCGGCCCAGTGGCAAGAGAAAACCCTAGACAACAAGAGACCTCCATCTGGCTGCAGTCTTCTCCTATCTTTATAGCTGTTGAGACTTTGACATCTTCCACCTGATCCACCATTGAGGACTTAGGATTGGACTGTGGTTTGTCTGGAACCTCCCCTCTGGCCTGTTTGTCATGGGTGACCTTGCCAGGAGTGAGAGACTCTGGATAACATAGTTCTGAGGATTGTTAGGATGCACAAGCCTCTCCACCACTAGAAGGTCTGAGTCCATAGAGAGGTAGGGTACATACACGCTGAGAACATAAGTGTCATACTGGGTCAGACCATTCATCCATCTAACCCAATATCTTGTCTCTGATAGTTTGAGAGCCAGTGGGTGCTGGCCAGTATACTCTGCTCTTTGTGCCCCCTTGGAGCACACATTATTAACTTTTGATCCACACCCCCTCCCATTTTTTTGTGATAAAATCACTTGCTACACACTTAGTGCCCCTCCTCCAGAAACAGGGAGGGGCTTGTAGTTTCTGAGTGGCTATAGCCCACAGGCAAAATCTTTTGTGTAAAAGGGTACATGGCAAGCTTTTAAAGGGTACATAAGGGACTGAAAAACAGAAGAAACAAAATCAAAGAAACAAGAATGCATTCTGCGATCTTACATGTTACAGTGTGGCTATAGTGACAAAAAGTATTGAGTTTTTTTTAACCGTAACATAGAATTATAAGTGAACAAAGTAGTGAAACACATAAAAGTGGGTACATGACCCCCAAAAAATTTAGAACCACTGATATCAAATTTATTAAGCTCTCAGTGCAAGCTCAGTATAGTAGAAGCATATATAACTTCTGTGCAATCCATAAACTGAGCTGTGCACTTGCTTGAATATATCAGCACGGTAGAAAATAGACTGTTAGCCATAAGTCGAACATCAAGGGCACCAAGAAATCATGGTCTGTAGGCTATCTTAAAAGTACTACAATGCTATTCAGTCTCTTTATCAAAATGGGTGACAACTCTCTAAAAGGCAGCACTATGGGCAAGGATCTCAGAATCTTAGTGGACCACAGACTCAGTATTTTAGTCTGCAGTGTGACACAGCTGCATAAAAGGCAAATGGGTTGTGCTGCATCAATAGGAACATTAGGTAAGATATGAGAGGTGACAGCACCTCCTTATTTAACACTACTTAGGCTTCGTTTAGAGTATCGTTTGCAGTTTTGGGCTTTACATTTTGTTTTGTATAGATATGATCCTGCCTCAAGAAGGGGATAGGTGACATTTGAAGGTCCTTTCCAGGCCTATTTTTTATGATTCTACCATCTTACAATTTGTGTATGTGTATGTATGTACTCATATATGTCCTTTAAAAATCTATTTTTTCAATCTGTGAATCCAAGACCAAGGGTCACAAGACGTTTGTTAATGTCTGCAGGGAGCTCTGTAAATTGACTGACGAGCTGATTCTTGATAGTGAAGCCAACACTGTAAACATGCCTGTCCTGGGCCAGTTTCCTCTTTCAGAAGGTGTAGCCTCCACCCTCTTCCCTCAGCTGACCCTTATCCAGTCATCTTGTGTCAGAACTCACTCAGAACTGTAATGTCAGTGTAACTCAGTAGTTCCCTAGAGACGATAGCAGTTCTTTTGGTCATCCGTTGCCTTGGTTATCTATCAAGGTTTGAATGATCCATATTGTGAAATAATTTTCTTCTTATAATGTTTTCAGGAGCAGATAAGACCACCTAGGTTTAGGGCACCTTTTCTAGCCCCTTCCCCATGTAGGGCAAGCAGAGGGGATCCTGAATAGGACAAGTCAGCCACGGTAGCAGCTGCCAAATTGCACCCCTGTCTCAACCCAGGTGCAAGATGGTCATCAGGCCATTTCCTGCTTGGTGCAGGGGACTGGACCCAATCATCTTCCAAGGTCCCTTCCGGCCTTACAGTCTATGAATCTGTGAATAATTTTGTGAATAACCACTTGCATGTAGATTCATGGCTGGACTACTCCTGTCTCCATCAGTACTGGTCCATCACCACAGGGCTTTTGGAGGTTGGTACAGACGAGCATGTTGCTTCTTGTCGTAGAAGCCTACACATGACTTTATTTAACATGAGGAAGTTGGTGCATGGAAACAGCAACCACATGATCTTGATGCAGTGGAGATCTCGGCCCAGTGGCAAGAGAAAACCCTAGACAACAAGAGACCTCCATCTGGCTGCAGTCTTCTCCTATCTTTATAGCTGTTGAGACTTTGACATCTTCCACCTGATCCACCATTGAGGACTTAGGATTGGACTGTGGTTTGTCTGGAACCTCCCCTCTGGCCTGTTTGTCATGGGTGACCTTGCCAGGAGTGAGAGACTCTGGATAACATAGTTCTGAGGATTGTTAGGATGCACAAGCCTCTCCACCACTAGAAGGTCTGAGTCCATAGAGAGGTAGGGTACATACACGCTGAGAACATAAGTGTCATACTGGGTCAGACCATTCATCCATCTAACCCAATATCTTGTCTCTGATAGTTTGAGAGCCAGTGGGTGCTGGCCAGTATACTCTGCTCTTTGTGCCCCCTTGGAGCACACATTATTAACTTTTGATCCACACCCCCCTCCCATTTTTTTGTGATAAAATCACTTGCTACACACTTAGTGCCCCTCCTCCAGAAACAGGGAGGGGCTTGTAGTTTCTGAGTGGCTATAGCCCACAGGCAAAATCTTTTGTGTAAAAGGGTACATGGCAAGCTTTTAAAGGGTACATAAGGGACTGAAAAACAGAAGAAACAAAATCAAAGAAACAAGAATGCATTCTGCGATCTTACATGTTACAGTGTGGCTATAGTGACAAAAAGTATTGAGTTTTTTTTAACCGTAACATAGAATTATAAGTGAACAAAGTAGTGAAACACACAAAAGTGGGTACATGACCCCCAAAAAATTTAGAACCACTGATATCAAATTTATTAAGCTCTCAGTGCAAGCTCAGTATAGTAGAAGCATATATAACTTCTGTGCAATCCATAAACTGAGCTGTGCACTTGCTTGAATATATCAGCACGGTAGAAAATAGACTGTTAGCCATAAGTCGAACATCAAGGGCACCAAGAAATCATGGTCTGTAGGCTATCTTAAAAGTACTACAATGCTATTCAGTCTCTTTATCAAAATGGGTGACAACTCTCTAAAAGGCAGCACTATGGGCAAGGATCTCAGAATCTTAGTGGACCACAGACTCAGTATTTTAGTCTGCAGTGTGACACAGCTGCATAAAAGGCAAATGGGTTGTGCTGCATCAATAGGAACATTAGGTAAGATATGAGAGGTGACAGCACCTCCTTATTTAACACTACTTAGGCTTCGTTTAGAGTATCGTTTGCAGTTTTGGGCTTTACATTTTGTTTTGTATAGATATGATCCTGCCTCAAGAAGGGGATAGGTGACATTTGAAGGTCCTTTCCAGGCCTATTTTTTATGATTCTACCATCTTACAATTTGTGTATGTGTATGTATGTACTCATATATGTCCTTTAAAAATCTATTTTTTCTTTACTCTTTTAGGCTTACTGGTAGCTTACTGCCATAGATTTGATATCCAGGTGCAATCCTCCAGAGTCTATTTTGTAGCCTGCACTATAGGTATGTATGATGCTGGTGTTTCTACGAAAGTAAAGCCAGAGTGTCTATATTAATTTACCTTGCTTTATACCTTACTCTTAAAATCAAGCATTGAAACAGTTAAAAAAAAAATAAAAACTCTCCACCAGTTTTGAGGCTGGACCGTTCAGTCCCAATTTATCTGCTGTTTTACCATTCTGAGCTCCTATGTTTGTCCCAAGTAAAATTATGCTCTTTGCTGTTGTTTTATGCCCTTGCCAGAATTCCCATGTTGTTTTACAGGTGATTCATGAATGTTTGGGATACATATGGAGCCTGTAGTTTTTTTATGACTATCACTAAGCTTTCTTTATTAGTCAGATTTTGGACAGCTCTGAGTTGATTAAGTTGAGTGGCCAGATCCAAATCAGTTTTGTACTTGGGATCTTGGAATATCTAAAAATTAGGCACTTTGCCTGAGGAGCAAAATCCAAAGGGACAGTCAGTAGTGAAAGTAGTTGTCTTCAAAGGGTGATCCAGATCATCTCATCCAAGGATATCAAACATTTTGGCCCACAGGCCAGATCTAGCCCATAGAATTGTGGCATCTGTCCTAGAGGGTCCAGGAGTTGTGGAGTAGGGCAAGATGGTCAACCAAAAGCCAGAGTACAGAGGTCTGTTGGGGACATGTGTCATAACCCCTGCAGTTCTTTGCCTGCTGTGGGCTCTACCCCTAACGATCCTGCTTCCAGTTCCAGGTCTGGCCTCCAAGGAGCCCCACAGTCCCCACCCCACCCAAGGGGCTGAGTTTGACATCCCTAACCAAGGCAATAAGCAGGGAGTGCCTGTAGCAAGGAAGTGCTGAGCACAGAAGTGTGTCTCAATTCTGCTTCCTGTAGTCACCTCTGATTTCCTAGAGGAGAAGCATTGAACTCATTGGGAGCAGCATTAAATTCAGACCTAATCACATATCTAGGTCTCCTCCACTTCCAAGGGAGCGCCCTTATCACTGAAGTAGAGAGTTGGGTTTGTTTTTTCTTGTTCTCCTGGCTCCATGTATCTTACATTCTTGGATCTCTAGTGGCCCGGTTCCAACAAAAAGAGGGTGCCTTCACTCAAGAGCCTTGGTGATTTGGGCACTTTTCTGAAAATGGGAGATATTGATGTGAGCCATCAGCCATCAGGCTCTTGGATAGCCTAGAACCCTGGCTTCCCCCTTCCTGGGCAAGTCATCTAACTGCAAACCTATTGTATAAAAGTTTAGTTGTTCTACCACCACCAGCCATGTCTGAGAGTAGCTGAGGAAGGCTGCCTAGGTTTAGGGCACCTTTTCTTCTCCCTTTCCCATGTAGTGTGAGTAGAGGGGATCCTGAATAAGACTGCTCAGTCACAGTAGCAGCTGCCAAATTGCACCCATGTCTCAACCCAAGTGCAAGGCAACCATCAGGCTACAACCACTTGCATGTAGATTCATGGCTGGACTAGTTCTTTCTCCATCATGACTGGTCCATCACTGCAGGGCTTTTGGAGGTTGTACAGGAGAGCATGTTGCTTCCTGTAGTAAAAGCCTGAACTCACTCAAGCCTTTAGGGGTGCTCTATGGACACCTAATGGCTTGAAACGTCAGTAGAGTTTAGGTGTCCCTCAGCACCAATCTGGATATTGACAGAGCTTAAAGCATGGGTGGGCAAAATGCAGCCCACAGGCTGGATCCAGGCCGTGGCTGCCATGGTGCTCCACATGGGGCTGAGCAGTACCCACTCCCACCATGGTAGCCCACACCATGCTTCCGCCAATCCAGGCCTCAGCCAGCATGCAGCTTCTGGCAGGGCTGTTCCCAGTGTGGCTGAAGCTGGCTGGATGGTGCTCTGCTCCCCTCACCTCCACAGGGAGCAGCCTAGCTGAAGCTTCCTCCCCGCCCAAAGCAGTGCAGCAGAGGCAGGAGGAGGAGCTGCCACTGGAGGTGAGGTGAGAGGAACAACACCTGGCCAGTTGCAGCCACACTGAGAATAGCCCCACCAGAAGCTGCGAGCTGGCTGGGGCCTGGACTGGCAGGGCTGTTCTGCTCTCTTCACCTCCAGCTCCAACCGCTGCACTGCTCGGAGAAGGGAGGAGCTTTAGCCAGGTAGCTCCTGCCCAGTGTGTGGAGCCCTGCCTCCAGCTACCAGTTGCCTTCCACCCACTCTACCTGCCCAGTACAATGAGCAGCCACCTGGGAGCTGGAGCTCCACATGCTGGGCAGGAGCCACCTGGATAAAGCTTCCCCACGCGGGAGCAGCAGGAGAAGCAGCTGCAGCTGGAAGCAAAGGGAGCAGAGCAGCTCTGCTGGCCTGGGCCTGGGCTCAGGCCCTGGCTGGTAAGCACAGCTTCCAGTAAGGCTGTTCCTGGTGTGGCTCCAGCAGGCTGGGTGCTGCGCTGTTCCCCTCACTTCCTGGTGACATTGTGAGTCTGGCTGGCTGCAGCCACACTGGGAACAGCCACACCATAAGCCGCATGCTGGGACTGGGGCCAAGGCCTGCGGCTTTAGGCAAGATAACAGTACTGGTTGCCCCAGGTGGCATTCAGCCCCATGCAGAGCATAAAAGGGGTAGCAGCCAATTGGATGAGCTCTGC